CCTTGGCTTGAGGCGGGCGACCCGCGCTTGTCCCGCGGTTGCTGCTGCCGGGGGTGGGAAGCTGGACGCGGCGGCGGCGGCAGGAGGGGAAGAAGAGCCTGGCTGACGAGGGGCTCCCTTTCTCTCTCTCTCTCACACACACACACCCCCCACACAGAGAAGACGTCTCTCTCTCTCACACACACACCCCACACAGAGAAGACGCCCCCCCCTCGCTCCCGAGATGTTCTCGCGGCGGGGCCACGCCGATGTCAAGAAGTCCACCCAGAAAGCCCTGGACCCGCGGAAGGACGTCCTGACTCGCCTCAAGCACCTCAGGGCGGTGATGGGTGAGTGGAAGGAAGGAAAGGGGCGCGTAAGGGCAACGCAAGCCGAAAGCCCGGGTGGAAAGGGGGGTGGGATGGTGGCCCCAGGAGGTTCGCCCTCCACTACAGTTATCGTGCAGTTCTGGGTTCGAATCCCATCCTTTCCCCTGAGATCCTTTCCTTCCCCTTTGGGCAAGCGCCACAGCAACCTCGGAATAATTCAGCTCGCAGGCTTTTAGGGAATCGCAAAACCCATGTGCAGGGACTATTAGAAAACCGTATACCTGCAGAGTTATTAGGGCGACTTCTATTATTATTATTATTGCTGTTATTTCTGGCAGCAATAACGGCCAGGTAGTCTTCGCACATCAGGTTGGTCTCTGACTGCACAAAGTGGATGCTTTGGCTGTGCCAGACTTTATGGCTGCTGCAGCGGCCGAAGGTCTTTCCTTTTTGCTCCTTCCTGCACTTCTAAATAAATAAATGAAGGGAGGGTGAGACATCTCCCCCGACGCCCTTTTGCCTGCCAGAGCAGCAGAGATCTCCAGTTAAAGTGCATCGCTGGAGGCGAGTGAAGGCAGCTCTTCCTGGAGCACAAGCAGGTGTGGCAGGTGTATTGTAGGCAAGGAATCAAATAGGTTTGCTGTAGGTAGTGCTCCATTCCAAAACAGAAGAAGTTCTTTGGCCAGAGATTCTGGTGTAGCTTCAAAAAGAAAATGTGGTTTTGTTTTAAAATGCCTATGTGAGGTCTAATGCATTGCATTCGTTGTTGGTAGGCTGAAGATCTACTATAACTAGATTAGGAGAATGGGACTGGCTTCCGAAGTTCAATTGTTTGAGTTTTTCTTCTAACATTCAGAAATGTGAATCAACGGGCATGCCCATGCAACAGCTTCCTGTGGTTTTTCCTGTATGAGAAGTGGCCCAGAGAAAAAGGCAGTCACCATAAGAAGCCATGTATGAATGGCACAGTCTGCCTCTGTTCTTTGGTATTCCTGGCCTTTAGTGTTCTGTCTGGGACCATTGTGGGTTGCACTTTCTTAGAGACTTTTGCAGTCGTACTATGAACTGAAATGTTTTCCCATGCAACAGCTTCCTGTGGTTTTTCCTGTATGAGAAGTGGCCCAGAGAAAAAGGCAGTCACCATAAGAAGCCATGTATGAATGGCACAGTCTGCCTCTGTTCTTTGGTATTCCTGGCCTTTAGTGTTCTGTCTGGGACCATTGTGGGTTGCACTTTCTTAGAGACTTTTGCAGTCGTACTATGAACTAAAAAGTTTTATTTCTGCTAGCCGGTACAGACTACTATATATTCTGTAGGACTGATAAATTTGTTAAATGAACTATGGAATGGTAGAACTCCTTGCCTGTTTCACAAGTTCTCCAAGTTAATCTTACAACTTGATACTAGTGTGAAAATGCTCATTTTATTATTTTATTGTTTTATGCTTTTCTGAATATTTATATGTATTTATATTAGATGTGAAACATAATCTTTTAAGAGTGGTTTAAATTCTGTTTATGTGTACAGCCTGATTAGCTTTGAAGCAATAAAGTATTCATATTTGTATAAATTGAAATTAGAGCTGAGCGGTCAGTATCAAGTCTTCCAGGGGACAAAGATGTTTGGTAAAATAAACATCAGAGTGTTTTTTTTTTTTAAGTACAACCAGATAAACTGCCCCCCCCCAAGAAATACGTATGCAGTGCAAAGTGAAGTCATGAGAAATTTGTATGATGGTAGCTAATTTGAAAAGAGACAATATGAAAAATTGTCAGTATCCTGGCTGCACTAGAGTTCAATACCCTGATGAAGCATGCTGTTTCTCTTCCCTCTGCCAAAGACACACTCTACTGTCTTCATGGTTGCCCTCCAAATGTGTACATCATTATAAATACAGTATAAAAGAAATCTGGAATACAGAAAAGATGTGTGGCACCTTGAAGACTAATAGACTTATTACAGCATGAAGTTCTGTGGATTATAGCCCCAATACCTTGGATTCATGCATTGCATCTATATATGGTTACTCTAGGCACCTTATATTTATAGTTCATAACTAATTGCCATGTTATTTTCTCCATAAAAATGAGTGGCAGAGACTATTTCATTTTTCTTTTTGTCCCAAGTTTTAGCTGTTATTCATTGATGCTGCAGTTTTACCTCTCGGTCCTGCTAGTTTCTAAAAGCATGAAGTCTCTACAGGGGGCTTTTATCCACATTGAAAATGTACAGTGGCACTTATGGGATGAAAATTAAAGGCTAAAATTCTGCTACTTAGCATAGTAAATTACACTTAGAGTAGGTCCAGTGACTCAATGGGAATTTGGTGAGAAAACCTCTGTATAACTTCCATTCATTTAAATATGTCTACTCTAATGGTGACTTTAGCATAGCAGGTTGCAGTTAGAATAGACTCATTTGAATCCAAGGAACATATGGAGTAACTGACTTGCTAAATCCCCATTGATTCAGTGGACCTGCTCCACTCCCATTGAGTAGAACTAGCTTTTTATGGAGCACTTCTGATCCTGGGATATGTTTCCTATATAAAACTTTGGGAAAAGTTTTATATAGTGCTGCAGGGATGGGGCAGATTTGTGAATAGCACTTTATAATACATAGGCATGCTTCTTTACGTGACACACGTGAATAGCAATTAGAAATGACGCGCATGAACCACTGGTTTGGTGGTTCATGACAGTTTGTTTACTGGCCGAGCAAGTGTTTGACAGTTCTCAGCACTGCCTCCTCCAGTGAACCCCCCCCCCGAAGCGGTGCGCAGAGGAAACAAGGCGGTGAAGCTGGGATGCTGCCTCTGAGAGGGTGGGATGTGGGGCTGGGAACTGCCAAACACCTGTTCGGTCAGTAAACGAATTGGCACAAACTGCCAAACCAGAGCGGTTCATGCTCACTTCTAATAGCAACCCCTTCTCCTTTGTTAGGGGACATGGTTTCCTTAGAAATTCAGCTAGAGGTTAAAAAAGGGACATTGGTCTGCTTTGTACATTGAGTCCGGAGTTTTATGTTGTTCTTACCGATTGCATTATTTATGCAATAGCTTTTAAAAAGTTGTTTACCATACCATAGCTCAGTAAAGATGTTTGCCCAATGCTGATATCTCTGTGTTCTTATATTTTAAAAAGCTGGAAAGTTTCCCAAGGAGTAAAAATCTTTGGCCTACAAGTCTGTTGTTGAAATGATGCTCCCCAAAACAAAGAGATTGATACCCTAGGTCATCATCCCCTTACTCAAAACTTTGGTACACTCTGTTTGTATCTTAAGTTCTACTCCAAGTAAACACCACAGCACAGTTTTGCAGACCACCCTACTTTCTATATAGCGCATCTCTAGCAGTATGGAAGTGCTGAAATGAAACACTATCTTGTCTCCTTGAAAATAAGACCTAACCTGAAAATAAGCCCTTGTATGATTTTTCAAGATGCTCGTAATATAAACCCTACCCCAAAAATAAGCCCCAGTTAAATGAAACCATGCCGTCCACCATTGTGCAGCAACCAGAAGACATGACTATGTTTGAATAAATGTAGATTGTTGTACAGTACATGAAAAAAAAATCCCTTGAAAATTAGCCCTAATGTGTTTTTTGGACAAAAATTAATATGACTCTGTCTTATTTTCGGGGAAACATGGTATCTTTGACAATGTAAACAGCAGATTGATAGTACACAGTTGTAAAATCTTTACTAATCCAATCCAAAATGATTTATATTTGGAGGGAAGAAGTCTCATTGTGTTTCATAGGTGTAGTCCTAGAGAAACAGGAGGGTTTTTCCTCCCTGCTTCTTGGGCTATCAAAGAATGTTTTGTTTAAAGGGGAAGTAATAATAGAGGTTGTACATCATTGGAGTAGAATGTTGACCTTGAGACCAGAGTAAAATTAGCAATAAAAAGACAGTGGCAACTATGTTATTAATTCAGGCTGTTAACAAATCTGCTGGCAACTACATAAACATTCTAGCAAGGTGGTTAATACATACAGGGTTAAAGTTACATTGGCGTAAAGTGGATCTGCTGCGAGAACTAACTGAAATGAATTATCTTAAAGGAATTGGAAGCTTTCTATCCTCCCATTTCAGTTTCCAAATTTTTCCTGTGTCTCCATTTTGCTCTGGGGAAGCCTTTTCGAGCCTTGGGAGAGATGTGGAAGAAGCCTTTGATAGTAAAATGTCAGCAGATCACCAATTACAGTCCTGATCCTGGCAATGGTGATCTGGTAGCAATTTTTGACTATTAAAGATACCCTCTCTTGTCCTGAGGCTCCCAGAAGTTTCTCCAGTGCAGTGGCAATAGGGAGCCTCGGAACCTGAAATGGAGAGATAGGAAGCTTTCAACTAATTTAGTATTTACCAGCCCAGAAAAATGATACTGGAACATAACTTTACATCAACAGGATTTGGGTAATTGATTTTAGTATACAAATGGTAGCCCTTGATAGAATATGTAATATGTTGTTGAAACATGTACCATGCAACCTTGTTTTCCTTTTCATGACTTCAGCATGTGTTGTATTTTCCTTGTAACATTTTTTTTATACAGTGAAGGGTAAAATCATATTCTTTTATTAACTGTGAAGAATCCTGGTACGTATGTGTAAGACCTCAGGAAGCCTCTCGTCCTCTATTGTATGTTGGAATAAATTGTAAAACAGTGTCCAATAGCTGGAGGATAATACCAAGCATCTACCAAACAGACTAGCTCTTTTATTGTAATATGAGCTTTTGTGACATATTTCAAGAAAATACATGATTTTAGTAGCCTACATGACTCTCAGAAAAAGCCAGACAGACCTGTTTCTGTACATATTTGTACAGATCTGATTTAGAAGAAAAACGGAGAGCAGTGTATATGCCAATTTTCAAGCAAAATGTTTCACCTAGTCTTATTTGGCACTGAACCTGAAAGCATTAGTTAACTTTTTTAAAAATCAGCATCTGGTTTTTATTGTTCCTAACATGTAAAACCCTTCTTGTTTTCTTCAGCTTGAAAAATGAATATTTTAT